AAAAAAAAAAAAAAAAAAAAAACCTAGGATGGAACTAAGATGGGAAAACGTACTATAGGTAGAAGCAGGTCTCCCTCCAGTCCTTCCAGGGCTTAAATCTTGTAAGAAAACAAGAAATAAGAAAAGCCACAGGTCACTAAAGGAATGGGAGAGAACCTCATGAAATGGGTACAGTCAAGTCTGTAGGAAATTGGGAGCCCAGGTAGGTTCCATTGTGGACTCAGAGAAGGTCCATGCAGGGGGTCCTGGAGAGGCACACAGACTTTGAGTGACCATGAAAGCTGTAAGTCATCTCCTAAGAAAAATGCACACATCATAGTATTATTCCAGTACTGTTAGAGGGGCCTCACACTACCCCTGAAGCCCATCTGTGACCCCTGGGAATTCACAGGCCCCATGTCCTTGATCATGGGTAGATCACTGAAATCCACAGAGAACCTACAAACTTCATTTAGGCTGTCGTTGCAAACCCACCCCCATCGCTTACTTCCACCAAGAGGGAAAAACAAAACAATCACCCTTTTATCAGACCAATTTACAGGGAAGAGAATGGACTGGTTTTTATATGACTTCTATCAGGCCCCATCACTGTTAACTGTAGAGATCAAAATAAAGAGAATAAAAAAGAAAATATCTGACTGCTTGGATGTAGAAGCCAGAAACTCAACACTGAAATCGGCAGTCTGTTGCTTTCCCTGGCAGACAGGAAGAGAAAGGGAATTTCAATTTTTAAGAAAGAGTTGTTCCCAAGGATTACACTTTATTTGAACCACCCCCCCAAGGATCACACTTTATTTGAACAGCTGTTAAACAGGTTTTGTATTTTAGAACTGTATGCATCAGAAGATAATGCAAAGCTTTTTTGGGCAACAGAGTCTCTTCTGATTTTTTGAATTAATTGTAGTTCATCTTACGTTTTTCAAGCGATTAATCTGGTTTATTTCTTGCAACAACTGGTATGTGGTGGGATCTAGTGAAGCCCACTAGTAGCTTCATGAATCACACCTTGATTTACCTATGAGGATAAACAAGCTTAAAGTCCATCTGAGCCCCCCACCATCTACGGATCCTCCAACAGCAAACTTCTGAACTCTGAGTCCCCCAGAACATCTCCCTATTTTGACAGTAATACCCCCCCTCAATCTCCTAGCCCCCCAGGCCAGAAAAGGTTGAGTTCATTAATCTTTTAAATATTAGTGTTTCATAACCTTATGAATATTTGTTCCTGTCACTACTACCATTCAACTCTATTGGTCCTTACTCTTCATCCTAATCTTCACTGACCTCCTCAGGTTACTGATCACAGGAGGCTTCTGACTTCACACAAGAAAAGTCTGACTTCTGGGTCTGCATTTGGAACCTCTCTGCTTTTCTGCCTCTGTAATTATTTCCTTTGTGCAATGAAATAAAATAAATAGAAAAAGGTCAAAATACTGGTTTTAAATACTAGTATGAAAGGAATTGTGTCCCTGTGTCTACTGGAAATTAGCAGCTTGGACGGGTTATCACACCAACCAGTATCAGAAGAGAACCCCAGGACCTGGTTTGCAGTAAGTGCTTGGTGTGAGTAACTGGATGGCTGAATAAACAACCGGAAGTGAATTGCACGCTGCAGAAATGGACTTGGAATTCAACGTGGCTGCTTAGATATGCTTATAGACCTGCCAAGGCCCATGCATGCTTGCTGCAAGGAAACCGGGCAAACCATTTGCCTGGTTTTGAAGGGGACAGGTTGTATGGGCACCAGCAGCCCTGCCTGGTGACTGCAGTTCAAGAATCTGGCGAGGAAGCAGGTGAAACCATTCGGGAGCGCTGGATTTTATTTTTCACGCTGGCGCTTAGCACTTCAGTTTACCTGTCCATAGATAACGCGGATCTTGCTATTGCCACGTCTGTGACAATCCCAAGAAATAATGAGGTATATATAGTAAGTGCTTTATATAAAGCAGAAAGCGCTGGAACAAGACGGGAGAGGCAGCGTTTCTGACACAGGCCTGCTCGGCTGATGTGTCCATGGAAAACCCTTTAGAGCAGCATTTCTTAAACTTGAACATGCATTAGGATCTTCTGGTACTCTTGTTCAGATGCAGATCCTGAATCATGGGTCTGCAGTGGGGGGCTGACATTTCCCAGAGCTAACAAGCTTCCACGTGATGGCGGCACTGGTGGTCCGCAGACCACCTTCAAGAGTAGT